TTTCAGGATTTTAAAGTCCTGAAAAGATCAGTTTTAGGAAGGACAGAAAAATCTTCAGAGGCCAGCTCCTGCAGCCAGATGTTTCTGGAAATCAGTAGGGAGAATCAAACAAGTTTGCCAAGTGATAAAGGCAGAAATTTCTCATTAGAAATTCAGCTCAATAGTTTACATAAAAATCCCTTGAAAGTTCACCTGTTCAATTCTTTTCATCAACATTTTGGAGAAGGCATTTGCTAAAAGATTTAACAATCCTATTCCTGATGACATAGGAGGTTGGGAGCTTGCAATATCCATCCAAGACTTCCGCCCGACCCAGGTGAGATATTCCTGATATTGAGGGCTTGCTTAACAGGGGGAAGATATACCAGTTTAACTTTCAACATTTAACCACTGTAGGTAAGCCAATGCAAGCCTCTGCATAATCACGGAGTTTAGTTTGAGAGCAAGATGGATAAAATCAATGATTAAAAAAGCCTCATCTTAAATTGGGTTTAAAAAAAATTGTATCACATACATGCTATAGCTACAGTCTCAGAAATGAATGTGTGGCTCTAGTCTGTCCCAGGTGTTCTTTAAAGTACTGGGCCTTCAGTTTCTTAGGCTAACATGAGAGGCTGTATAAGATTGTTTTTGTTCTGTGCTTATGTGGTAGAAGACTTGGGCCAAGCACAGCAGAGTTAGTTAAGGCATTGTCAAACACAGAGATAATGGACACACTGTACAGAAAGGAAAAAAGGGAAGACACTATTCAACTCACACACAGCTTCCTATACTCCAACAGTTTTTCCAAGGCAAAACTGTCAAGGCCTCTGGGTGTAAAAGAAACCCTGTCTGAGAATATTTTGAAGAAATTTGTTCCCTGAGTAAAAAAGGTGTCAAGTGTAAGCAGTGCAAGAAGATACAGGGCCTAGCTACAAGAATGAACCATCATAAGGAAAGCTGCTTATAGGAAGGAAAGAATGGGTATATATGTCTGAAGGATAATATGGATCAACTTTGCAATGCATTTGTCAAAACTGTGCCTTTTAGTATCAGAGTGATTTAACAAATACATTTCAAAGCTGTTTGCTATGTTGGGTGTTGCTAGATAAAAAGTTTAGCTTAACTAATTAAGCAAGTCATCAGAATTAGGTAAGTAGATTTAGAATCCATCACCCAAGTATTCAGTACAGAAAAACGAGACATCTAGAGTTGCCACTGAATGTCACTCATTTTATACATACCCCTTATTTTGAAACTTCAGTGTTATTCACTAATGGTGATGCATAAGTCTACTTCCTATTTTACTTCAGCATAACTCAGCTTTCCCAAAGGAGCCCCCATTCTATACTTGTTTTCAATGGGGGCATCCTCCAAAATTAAAGTGCACTCTAAGCTTTTTTAGTAGCTTAGAATCTGATCTGCATCAAAAGTGACAGTGGGAGCAGGGAAGATGAGCGCACGTTGTAGACATTTCAAGGACACCGTACATTTAGGGTTCTGAGGACTTCTGTTAGCGTTAATAAACTCTTTTTAAAATTAAGGACAGCCATCAGCTGGCAACTCAGGAAACTGCTGCAACTGCAAGTGTTAAACATTTATGTAACATTTAATAGTTAGTATAATAAAATGTAAGTGCTATTGTGTGAGAGATTTGATCCTTACCATTCCTAATGTACTACTGCTGCATCTGTACATTGACACAGGTAACGAGTATTATGCACTATTTTCTAAATTAATAGTAATCAAAATCTAAAAATTACACAAAGTAATTAAATGTAAAATGCTGTAAGTTAACATGTTTTAGTCATCAGATTTGCACCACTGAAGAAATATGAAGCAGCAGTGGGAAACTTGATTTAAATTGCCTTTATTTAAATTAATCCATTCTGTTTGAGAGCGGCTTCTTGCATTGTAAACTTAATTGTTAGACTTTTGCTAGAATAATAAAAACACTTACAGGAAAATAAGCATGTTCGCACTAGTTTAAATTCACATATTAAGTTATGCTGCTGTAGCCTTCCCATGTACACAAGAGGGAAAAAACCTACACCCCAAAAATCAGTAACTTGAAAAAAAAAAAATCTCATCTCACTCCAGCTCCCCCCCAAAGCCTGTCAGGCCTTTCCTGTGTATTATTGTATAGGAGCAAAGTGCCAACACAAGTCCAGTTTAAAAACAAATATAAAATTGTAGTGATTCGTTTTTAAGTGATCTTAGTCATCACTTTTTCTGCCAGAAGACCCTAGCTAAAAGGCAAGTGCAGCAAAAACAGGACTAGATGGCTTCATGAATAGGCAGCATTCACATCTCATCTCTAGATCATTGCTTTAGATATAGCCCAGGTTAATAGTAGCAGAAAAAGAGTTCTGATAAGACTGATGAGCCTTCAAAATAAGCTCAGAGTGTTAATACTTTCAGCCCAGCTAGTTTATTTGTATTCCTGTCAAACCACACAGCACTAGGCAATGTGCAGACACACCAAGCATCTAAAATCCCCATTTAATTAACTCGTTAAACATTAACTTTATCTAGATAATTGATTAAATGGGGGATTGGAGAAGCTGCCTCCACCTGCCATGGTTGGGTGCGAGCTGCTCTGGCCAGGCAGGAGCACTCTCCTGACCAGCAGCAGACTGGAGCTTGTGGCCTCTGCTTCAGCCACCACCTGTTAACTATTCACATCCCAAATGCACACACACCCCTACCTTGCTTTCAAGAGCTCATCTAAATAGGACTTGACAGACTGTGTAGCCAACAGAAAAGCAGCACTTGCTGGATGTGCGCAGTATGCTGCCTTCCCAGTTTCTCCTTTACTTAACATCCCTGCCAATCTCTCTAGTATCATATTGAATAAGGGCCCTAACTGAATAGAAGCCAGTGGCTTCACACGCACTTACCCTTTACACAAGGGTTAGGTAAAGCCTTAAGAGCTTACCTCACAAGAGCAAGCCCCACAATTGCAGTGTTGCTGTTGTCTCAGATTGAGCTCCCTCTCACCAGCAGCCATGGTTTCTGCAGACAAGGATAGGCCTGTTATAGCACAGGGAAGACACTATTCCTTCAGTCGCACATGGCAACCCAAGTCATGGGCCAGGACTCCACTGTGCTAGGCCCTGTACCAACAAAACAAAGTATGATATAAAGACAAAGGTGTCAGGCGAGCACAAAAACAATAAAAGATGGCACCATCACTGGCCATGTTGTAAACAATCTGTGGACAGACCACACTGCTAGAATCACAGCACAGAGGCCAACTCAGTGTAGCTACACTTAATGCCACAATTTATGCTTCTTGTGGTACAACTATACAGAAGGGGGATAAATTCTATTGTGAGTCCTTGCTTCACAGCCATCAGTTAAGTTTAGTTACAAAATCTGTAACTGATATGCAGAAGAGCACAGCTTGATTTTCAAATTCCAGGTGGCAGCTGCAGTGGTGGTGGGTATAAATCCTGCAGTTACATAGAAACTTTAAGACATAGGAGATTTGCTTGTTTAACTCAGTAAACTCAAGTTTGTTCTTCTAATGCAGATTTCACTTTAACCTGCTCAGGTTACTGTGATGCCATAAATACGCCACTTTTCAGGAGCAGTAGTTTCCTTAACCGCTAGGATCCAAATCCTCAAAAGGTGTTCAGGCAGCCAAATCCCACTGAAATCAATGGGACTTAGGCATGTAAATATCTTGAAGCTCTCAATCAGGCAGCCAAATGACCACCAATTATTTGACTATGATCAAATACTAAGTAGTCTTGAAAGTAGACTTGGAATAAAGATGATTTAATTAGTGAGGACTGCAATGAAGTTAATACACACACATCTACCTACACTAAAGCCAAAACCCAGTTAATAAAAAAGTCACCTGCTCTTAACTAGAAGTGTTAAGAACACAGCTTGCCTTCCACTGGATGCTAGGCACAAGAGAAACCAAGACTTTCCTAAACTGAAGCCTTGAAATATGTAAGGGGGGTGGGGGGGAGAGAAGAAGAGGAGAAGCTGGAACTTCTGATGCTTATCTAGAATTTAAAGAGAGACCCAAGACCCTGTAGTTTTCATTACTGCCCACTTCCTTCATTGCCTGGTTTCCAACCCGTTCCTCCAATTGTTGGTGACACTTTTATGGCATTCTCTTGAAAGCTCTTTAAAATGGGGACAGTATTGTGTTTGTATGAGCCCAGAGCTATGGGATCCAAATCCTGACTAGCGCTAGTGGAATACAAATAAATAAGTAGCTTGTAAAACAGATATCAAGCCATTTCAAAAGCAGCCAGCATTTCTCTCCTCTTCTCTTCCTCCGCCCCCCCCCCTCTCCAGGAGTGCTGGAACAATTTGTAGCAAGCCATTGAACCAAACTGAACAGTGATGGAAACCATTGCAAGACAGATTGTTTGAAAGAAGGGGAGAGACCATTAGTGCTATTCCCCCCCACAACCCTTGTAATCATGGCTTTCTCTTCCAAGTCTTGACTTTGCAGAATGACACCCTAGATTTCTCCTGGCATACATATTGTGAGCACTCCCATAGGTACAAGGGGAAGAGGGACATACAAAACTGAAGTCTGCACAGGAACTGAATTTCTGAGGAGGGAGGGTTAGTAGAGTCTCAGGCTTCTTTTTAACCAGCCAAGTAAGTGTTCCAATTCAGATTTGCTTTTTAAAAAAAAAAAATCACCTTGCAGGTCACACCTGCAGAGGTAGAGTCAAGTTTTTGAATTTGCTTCACTGGCTAGGTCAAATGAATCTACAATATCTTGCCAGCAGCAGGGATTAAAATCTGGAGAATGACTCTGTGAACCAAGCTAAGGGGGGGGGGAAGTCAGTTGCCATGGACATTACTCTTTCACCCCAGACTGACAGGGATTGCTGGACTAAATCAGTTCTCTCCCATGCATTTCTTCCAAGAAGACAATCTTTCACAACAATAACTTTGTATCAGCCCATTTCTTCAGACAGGACAATTTCAGTGCAGGCAAAAAAATGAGGTGATGTGGTGATAACAAACAGCAAATTTGACATGCATTCAATACGGAACCAGTTTAATCAGATTTTGGATTTGCATTGTTCTTTCAGTATGACAAGTTCTGCATTTTCTAAGAATTACAAAGCAATCTCCTTTGAGTTGTACAGAATGCTGGTCCTAAAGAAACAAAACAACACAGGACACTAAGATACAGAGACATTTTAGAATCTCCATTTTCTAAACAATGGTTTGTACATAAAAAAACAACAAAAAACAAAAAACTTAATTCCCTCCCCACCCACCCCCAGCAATTGCCAGTTTACAGATAGGAAAAAAAAGTCCAGTTGATCCAGTGCAACAGCAGTAAGATACAGCTGCCCAGAAACAAGAGGTTCCCCCCCAAGCCTGCACTGAGGGGTAAAACCACAGAACTGCTCAGACAGCCAGTGCTATGTCAAGTTTACTTCTCCATTATCACTATTCTAGTAACAGACCTTTTCCACATTTCTACAATGGAGTGAAAACCCCTTCATAAAACCACTTACAGGCATCCAAATTCATCTATGCTACATTATACAGTTGAGTCAGAGCCAGAGCAAGTTAATTCATCTACAAAATTAAGAACTGATTTGATAGGTGGAACACATGCTACTTACAGCACAGACAATTGTCCATTGCACTTTAAGATTATGAAGTTTTACTGTCCAACAGCCTAGACAATGCTGCATGCACATGATTCTATCAACCTTCCACATAAACAAGCTGCCCTCACAATAGGGAACAAGGTTGCTCTTTATACCAATTTCTATAAGAACACAGCTACTATGTGTCACAGGGACTGCTAGGCTGACTTTCATGCTCATACATTATCCAAATAGCCATTTAATAAACCACCACATTAACTATATATTTGCATTATGTGAATTATAAGTTTTAAAAAAACATTAATCCATTAAGGAGGATTACAGTTAACAGATGTATAATTAGCACTTTATTTTAAGAACCAGAAGTAGTGATGAACAAAAACACTGCATGTCATTATAAAGTGCAATTAGGATACAAGTGCTAAGTCTCAGTAAAAAATAAGAGGTTCTGCAACATAAAGCTATTACTGTAATCTGACCATAAAAAAGGGGGAGGAGGGCAGGAGGGAAAATAGCATCTTCCTGTCAGTGGTAAACTCATGCTCTTTTAGAATATTTTGAAGTACACCCTTTGCCTAAACTATATCGGACCCACACTAGTGAGAAATTATTAAACCCTACTAGCTCACTGAGCACATGAGCGCGCAGCCGAACTGCAACAATAGCATGATTTTGCAAGAAGGGATTCAAAAAGGTAACAGGAAAACCAAGCTAGGCTTTTACAGTTGGTGACATCTTAGCTTATACCACTGGATAAAACAAAATTTTGCATTGAAATTATGTTTCTCCTCAGAAACAGATATTTTCACATTTGGAAAGTCTCCTGATCTGCCCACCCACCATGCATTTAGGAAGTCTACTTGTGGTCACATTTATGGGGATGTGCAACAAACAGCAGGTAAGATTACCACACTCCTGAACTTCCCTACTTCTTGCATGGAGCAAGGTGAGAAATTAAGGTAGATCATTCGTGCAAAAAGTTAAGCAATGGGAGAAACCACCTTCCATGATTCTCCCATACCCCCCCTCCAAACATCTAGGTACAATACAAAGTAAATGCATTGGGATCTTTAGTTACATCCACAAACACAACATAAATAAAAGGAGTATTGACTAAGCCCAGTCTCTTCCTGCTCCAAGCAGGAGCTTTTGTTGCACAGAACGTTTGCTCTTGCAGCTAATTACACCTTCTAGGAGGAGGAGGGAGGGAAAAAAAACCCCAAAACAAAAAAACCCCAACGAACCAATTATTCCTTCTCCAGAGTGCTTCTTCCACGGAAATGTGAGCAGGTCCAGAAAAAACAAGCTACCCAACCCACAGGTGCTCTGAGAACAGAGCTGTTGACCAGCAACCCAGGAAGGATAGCTTTGCAGTCAGACAGGCCAGAAAGCAACCTAGAGCGCCAGGCATGGTGCTAGCACCCGGGAAAGGGCTTTTTGTACGTCTCATTCAAATTGCTTGCTCCCTTCCTTCCATGCCTCCCCTGGGGTGCTGGAAAGGAAGGGGAAGAATCACAGGCTCATCTCATGGTGCAGTGAGCCCCCCAAGCCCCCCGCTGCAGGACTGCAAAGCTAGCACATGGGGGCAGGAGGGCAAGACCCCACGGGAGCAAAGGGGGGGGGGGAGAAGAGAGGAGAACACGGGCGCCAGGTGGGAGAGCGGGCAGGGCGAGAGGATACCAGGGGCATGCCAGTGTCGGCTGCAGCTCATCGATTGGCTTCCTGGGAAGGTGGGTGGGCCGGGGGCTCATTTCTTGGAGCCCTGGGCCTTCTTGGGCAGCAGCACGGCCTGGATGTTGGGCAAGACGCCGCCCTGGGCGATGGTCACCCCGCCCAGCAGCTTGTTGAGCTCCTCGTCGTTGCGGATGGCGAGCTGCAGGGGCCGGGGGATGATGCGCGTCTTCTTGTTGTCGCGGGCGGCGTTGCCGGCCAGCTCCAGGATCTCCGCCGAGAGGTACTCGAGCACGGCGGCCAGGGACACGGGGGCCCCGGCCCCAACCCGCTCCGCGTAGTTGCCCTTCCTCAGCAGCCGGTGCACGCGGCCCACCGGGAACTGCAGGCCGGCCCGGGAGGAGCGCGACTTGGCTTTGGCTCGCGCTTTGCCGCCGGATTTCCCTCGGCCGGACATGGCGGGGAGAAAGGGCCGATCCCGGCAGCTGCCGCCCTGGAGGAGAGGCGCCGAGCCGGTCCCAGGGCCTGGGGGACAAACAGCGTTATCACGCGCAGCCCGCGCCTAGGAGCCACCCGCCAGGGCCACAGCGCCCCGCCCAGCCGGTTACGCGCCCCCGCCCGCAGCGCCCATTAAAGCAGACCCCACCGGCACGGAAACCTAGTCCACAGCCCTGGCCCTCACCGCCGTACTGAGCCCGATCCGCCCCTCCAGACGCCTGCAGCTGCAATGACAATAACACGCTCCGCCGCTAGCGGAGATAAATCCAAGCCCAGGCCGCCGGCCGCTTCCCATTGGCGGGCGTGAGAGCCGACCAGGCTCCCATTGGCGGGTATTCCGATCCCTGATTTGCATAGGGCTCGCTACGCCCTGCCTCGGCTTCGGATGGAGAGGCAGCTGAGACGCTGGCTGGACCGCCTGCAAAGGGAGCTGCTGGTGAAGCATATTAATGTGCAGCACCAGCGGTTGTGGGAGACGAGCTCTTTGGCTGCCTTACAATGCGAAGTGATGCACTAGCGAAAGGATATTTCTTCCCTTGCCTCGGCTATAGCTCTTTAAGCAGTCACACTAGGCTTCTTTACCCCTTGATCTGCTCCGTACCAAGCTCGGGGAAAACCCTCTCTGCTTGAGTTCACCTTCCAGTCCTGCTCTAAACACCACTTCTTTGCACTGGGCTGCACGCTGCTCCAGCAGTTCAGTGACTCACTGCGGTGCCTACCTCTTTTTATGTACAATATTTCTCTTTCGCTCCCACGGATGGGCCAATCGCTTTGGTATTGGATGGTAGGAATTGGGGTGTCATAAGCAAGAATTTGTTTCTCTCTATTGTTATGACAAAGATAGGCAGGTAGATTTTGCACCAGGATAAATGACTGCTGATTTGCAGGACAGAGCAGCCTAGTAGTGTAAGCCGGGAACTAAGAAGGATGAAGCCTCATATTCTAATTGTAAATCTAATACGGCCTCGCTCTAGCCCTTAGCCTTTACCTTTCTGAGTATCAGGTTCCACACCTTTAACTTTTCCCAGGGCTGCTATGAAAGGTAATAATGGACATAGGACACATATACATGTGGAGCACTTAAACTTGAATGAAATGTTTATAAAACATTTGGAAGAGCCAAATCTGTGTTAAATGCTCTAGAAATAAACAACATATGCAAACCTGCCTGTATGAGCCAAAGCAGGGGTGGGCAATAATTTTTGAGCTAGGGGCCACTTCAAAGCCCCGCAGGCTGCTCCAGAAGGGGCAGGGCCTCATATGGAAGGGATGGGGCATTGGTTGGAAGAGGCCGAGCATTTAAATAGCAGGAGTTGAAAGGGCTCTTGCCTCCCAGGCATCATGTTAGCGGGAGACAGGAGCTGTGAGCCCTTTCACTTCCTGCTCTTTAATGAGCTTGTTGCTTCTGGCCTCACTGATAGCATGTTGCCTGGGAGCTGGGGACATGGGAGCCCTTTCAACGGCTTCTATTTAAAGGGTTCACACCTTCCCTGGGGCTGTTGAAAGGGCTAGCTGGGCTCCTGCTCCCAGGCAATGTGCTAGGGGGTGGGGCATGGAACAGCCGCACGGGCCAGATCAAAGCCATAGGCAGGCCGGATAAGCCCTGTTGAGGGGCTTGTACCCACCCCGAGCTAGAGTCTACCCCTCCTATTCAACTATGCTATTTTCACTACACTGGTGAATTTTGTGTTGTTCCAAATTCCAGGCTTATCTTCATGAAAGTGGGTTGAAGCCAACCCAATGGAAGGGGAGGCATCTGGAAAGACTCGTTTATTGAAATAAAAAGGGGAATGCTTTAGATTACCAGTTGTAACAACTGTAAGTACCACCACTAGTACCTGTCCTGCTGGTACTGGAGGGATGAAGAGCTTCTGCCTGCAATGCAGCAGGCCTCTGAAATTGAGGTTTTTTGAAAGGTGTCTCAACAGAATGACACTGTAAACCACACATAAAAGAGCAGCCAGTAGATCAGCCTCCCTATTTTTTGAAAGCTGTGACCAGGCTGTGGGGTAGGCCATAGAGGAGCAAGCAGTCTCCCACCTTCTCAAACATTCCTAACACACACATTTACCAGCATTGCTCAGGTCCTTAGGAAGGGCTCAGGGCACGGGGCTGGGAGTTGTGCAGGAGCCATAATGGGAAGAAGGTGAGGGGGGGATCTGGGCAGGAGAGAAAGAGAGAGAGAGTGCGTGCGTGCACTAACCCCCCACCCAAGATTACCAGGGCTGCATGGGCAGTGTGTGAAGGGAGGGCTAGGGGAGAACCACCATGTAACTGCTGAAAAAGTATGACACCAATCATGGTCATTTAAAAAAAAATAAGTAACAATGTCTGAATGGAGATACATTTGATTTGAAAATAGACTTAAGTTTAAAGGTTATTTAAAGATGACAGTATATTGGCAGACTTACCTGGCATTTCCTGGGTCCAACCTGGGGGGAGGCCTCCTGCCAGCACTCCCCAGGCCAGTCCAGGACCAAAGCAGGGGGGAGAAGGGAAGGGCACTGGCCAGCCCAGGGTTTGGGATTGGGGAAGGGTGCTGGCCCAAGGTCAGAGCCCAGCTGATTTGACAGATGGGAAAATTGAGGCAGAGATTATGACTCACTCAAGGCAACAAAGGAGTATTAGGAGGATTAGAATTCAAAAATTCCTGATTGTCCAGTCCTGTCTTCACCTCATTCCTCCCTCCATTAGTAGCAACAATTAATTTTAAAACAATTATTAAATGCATGCTTGTGACTTTTTGTGTAAGCCTGTCCTATAATGGTTGCAGTCTACAGCCAATGTTCTGAACAGGGGCAGCAAAGTCATTCTGCCTAGAGAAGAAATTACTTGGCAGGGAAGAACTCTACTTCTCACTTTCTGTGGGTTGCTTGCTGAAGCCCAGAAATGGCTTTGAATTTCAGGCAACAATTCTAAGAACCACAAATCAAGCCCTTTGATTTTTAGAGTCTGGAATGGGACTGAATGTAGGTAAATAAATTATTTTGTCTTGACACAAATGATGGCAGGGAAATAGACTGCAAAACTGTTTTTGGCTAATTTATATTAAGCATGGACAAGGGGAAACCCTAAATCCACCAATCTACCAATCATCCATAGCTCCTCAAAGATGTCAGAAATAGGGCTCGATGGTGCATTTTCCCAATGACTGTAACAGGTTATTATAAGATTTTGATATATCTTGGATCCAGTGTGATATTTTGAATAGAACTCATTTTCTTCTGGTATGGATTTGGTTCTCCTCTATTTAATGATATTTCACCACTACTGGATGCTCTAAGGGCTACTGCTCAACTGTCCTCCCCCAATACTCTCCCTAACACCTACGAAGCATCTGTGAATGGTTACCGGGTGATGCTTACCAGTTATGGTTAACAGGTGGGCGGAAGCAACTCCTGCCCACAGTAGAAAGGGGCCACTTCAGCCTGTCTGCAGGCCCCCATCCCCGTTTATTCAGTTAACCTGTTAACTGAGATTTTACTGTGAAGCTCCCTTAGAACAAAGCAGTTCTGAGTGGTGTCATCAATCTGCCATCTAAGAATATTTTATTTTGCAAATAAACTCTTTTCTGCAAATAAAGTCTTACAGCTCACTATACTCTATGAAGTCTCTCTTTTACCAAGGGCAAGGAAGACAAACTACTCACATTACTTGTGGACTAGATGATTATGGATTGATGACAGGTAGAGCAAGACAGACAAACACAGAAACACATAAGCCAACTGATCACTTTATTTTCTACAAACTGTTTCAAACACAAGTAAGCAATGCTCTCCAGAGATCTCCCACATGCTGCTAAGATCTAACATATGACTGACACTGCTTGTTCAAGTCCCAGACCAAAGACAAAAAAATCACTTTAGTACTTGACACTCCAGTGATCTACCTACTCAAAAGAGTGATTGTTCTCTCTCTGGATCAAGGATTCAGAAAATATTCTCTAAATCTTAAAATCCTATTAACACAAATATTGCACAAACATAATGGCCAAGACAAGTTTTCCCACTCCACTCCCCACTAAAAATAAAGCTAGCAATTATGGCTGCCACAAAGAACAGATTAAATCCAGTAATTCCCAGGGACTTGCTCTCTAAGGTCATGCCAACACATTAAAGCTTGTTTTTCAGTGATACTGAGTACCTACAGCTCTACTGACTTCGTTTGGTGCTGTGGGAGCTTGGCACTTCTAAACATCAGGACTTTTTCCTCTTTAAATTTACCAGTGTTGCTACTGTCAATGTGAGGTCTTGAATAGACAATATGTGCCATTTTTACCATTATGTCATCTATTCCTGCTCAAAGCCAGGTTAGACAACTGGTTAAAATACTGGTTCATGTCTACATTATAACTTCTGTTGCTACTACCAGCAGTAGCAACAGTGGGAAATTTCAGGGGATAATTCTAGTAACTTCTACAATATTACAATACTACTGGGAAAGGGTTTTCAAAGCAGCCCTTGACAATAGTACACAGACTTCATAAAGGTAGGTCAGGCTATCAGAAATGTGAAACAATGAGCATGGAAAAGGATTTAAAGGTAAGGACAGTTTTTACTTTCACCAGCAAAACTGTCTTAAGGCATTTCTCTCTCTCACAGACACACCAACCCTATACAACCCCATTGCCACAGTAGAACACTTCCTCAGTTTTAAAAGGCACCTGGTTCCCATGGCACTTGTTTCCAGAATCTTGAATATCCTCCTTTCCACATATATCAGGATCTCACTGTTCTGAAACTCTTATGCAGAGGCCCATCAATGTTTTCCATGCTGACACAAAGTAAGGCAGTGTTAGCCCTTAAGAAATGGAGCTACATCTCTGATTTAAATACTAGTTTAACATAGAATCTTTAGTTCATTTTTTGGCTGCATAAGTTCTCGAGCATCAAAACATCAAAAGTACCCAAAATATAGACATTATCTAGGAGAATTAACACACAGGAGAGCCATCTGAATAACACTTCATGAAAGAATTCCACTCAGTTCTTCCGTTCCTCACTCAATAGGAAGAACATGGATTGGGTTTAAATGCCTTCCCCCTGAGTATGTGATCCATAAGTGTTCCTAAGGCAGGTCAGTATCAACCATGGGGCATCAGTGAAAACACTGGTGGGGAGGTGAGCATTGCATATTAAATCAATTTCCCAGTTAGTGGAAGATAGGAAAGTTTTAAAAACCAAGCATTGCTCTCCTAGATCAGTAAGCCATCAGCACAAGGACATCAAGCTACAAAATCACATCAGTGCTAGAAATCAAATTTAAATGCTCAATGCACACAAAGTCAGAGATGTCTTGGTACCGGTCTGCAGGATCTAACAGGCTAACATACGCGTTCTATTCAGAACTGAAAGTCAGTTCACTGAGTTTTGGGCTTCTTTGCACAAGGATCCTCCTCTTCCTTCTTCAGCCACTGTTGCATTAAGCTTGCACTGCTTCTCTTGGGTGTAGCAGTAATCTGGATGAACTGACTGGACCATCTAGGCAAATCATCTTCCTCTTTCTTGGGAGACTTGTTTTTTAACCAGTTCAACATCATTTTGCTGCTAGTACTGGCTTTGGTCTCCTGGAAGGACAAGTTATATTAAAAGAAAAATAAGCAGCACAGAAATAGCTGGTCATATATGCAAGGCACATTAGAAAATGCCCATATGGGTACTACTTCAATGAGCTGGTCCAGTCTCAGAATGGGGAAGGTGCAGCAGCATCATTCCCTCC